TGTAATGAGTATTAGGGTTAGGGGTTATTAGGAGTATTTCTGATTCTGATTCTGATATTAATTATTATTTCTCTGTATTGATCGTTTTGCTCAACCCGCTGTATCGTCCCACTACAGATAGAGTCCATACCATAATAACAAGGCCTACCTTCATATACCTCCTCCCTGTGACTGCATGCCATAGTAACAAGCTGCCTGTCTGTCTCATTAACTCATTACATCTACCTACTTCCTGTGGTTCAGATCATGCGATCATGACATCACTTACTGCTGTTCTAATCTATAAAATCTATAAAAACTAATCTAATCCTTTCAGAGTAAAAGTGTTGTAGACAACTAAACCAATCAGCTCTCTGCCACAAACACGATTCTGATCTGAAATTGAAACAAACGACTCTGCTGGTCCAATCAGTGCAGAGCTGCTCTGATTGGTTGTTGCTAACAGGAAGTAGACAGACGGCAGTGGGTGGAGTTTACATGTTTTTATTGGTTTATTTTCATAACGATGATAAAAAGAACATAAAAAACAGCTGTGATGTCAGAGGATGAGCTCGATGACATACAAGGAAGAGGAGGGTCAGGGGGCGGGGTGTCAGGGCAGCAGCAGTCTGTTTCAGCCAATCAGAGGACGGGGAAGAGGGCCAAGGGCGGCGCTAAACTGAAGAGCTGTCTGTCAGAATGTTGCCTAGCAACAGTACTCCTCCTGCCAATCAGAACAGGGGGTTGGGCTTGACTCGAGCAGGGGGCGGGGTTCATTAGGTTGGCGGGGTTAAAGGACGTCATCACTCTCAGCTGTGTGGAGCTGCGTGTCATCGGCGTCCGTCATGATACTGCTGTCCTGACTGTCGTCCACCTCAGCCGCTGAGACAGGTAGAGAGACAGACAGATAGAGAGACAGACAATATTTAACAAACAGCCTTCATCCTCAACAACCTCTGACATCACAAACAGCCTGACCAATCACAGTTCAGCGAAAACAGACTCCAGGTACCTTTAGTTCACTCTGTAAACCCCTCACTCTGCGAACCTGTCTCACCTCTGAGGTCTCACTCTGTGATCCTGTCTCACTCTGTTGTCTCACTCTGTGAACCTGTCTCACTCTGATGTCTCACTCTGTGAACCTGTCTCACCTTCGTCCTCTGGCAGGTATCTCTTGTCGATGGCTTCTTTGATCTGGTTGTTTGCTCCTTTAGGATCCAGATCCATCGCCCAGCTGAAGTTCATCAGAGCCAGGTGAGTCTGACCCAGCTTCTTATACACCTGATGAGACAGACAGACAGGCAGTCAGACAGACAGCTACTTCCATGGTGGGGTCACAGTGTCAGAGGTCAAAGGTCAGTTAAGGTTACCTTTCCTATGAGGAAGTAAACCAGAGACTCTTTGGGAACAATCTGTTTCAGCTCCTCCAGCTCCTGGAGAGCCGCCTGCAGCAGGTCAGAGACAGACAATTTTTGTTACTCAGTTTCAGCCTCTGATTAATGGCCAGTTATTCAAACAGTACTATGACTGTATTGATTCTTACTGATCAGTATTGATTACCTTATATTTGTCGTTGGCGAACAGTATGGACGCTCGGTGGAACTTGCAGAGCGGGTTTTTGGGGTCGATCCCAATCGCTCTGTTCAGAGTCTCTAAAGCCGCATCAGACTTCTTCAACGCATGTTGCACCTACACACAGATGGAGATTGAGGATGCTACGTGCTAACTTACCACTCCAATGTGACAGAGCAGCACGGAGCTCTGAGGGTTGATACTCAGAGCTTTCTTAAAGTGAATTTCTGCCAAGTTGAACTTCTCCTGTTTGTAGTAAATCATCCCCAGACCATACCTACACACACACACACGACAACATCAGGCAGGAAGGCGCAATGAAGACGACTGGAGCGAAAGCGAGTTGCAGATGTGATGTCATGAAGCAATCCCCCGGTGTAATTTTAGGTGTAACCTATTGGTTACCACGGTTACGGTACCATGCGTTGTAGTGTCTGTTGTTGACTCTGATGGCGTTGCGGAAGCAGGCGAGTGCTCGGTCCAACTCCTCCGTCAGAACAAACTCATGACCCAACAGAGTGTAGGCGTACGCAAAGCCTGGGTCCACCTGAGAGACAGACAGGTCAGAGAGAGAAAGAGACAGGTAGGTGGCGACAGAGACACAAACAGGTCAATATCCTCCTGGATCCTACTCTTCACATATATCTGATAACCTTCATGTATCAGACATTGAGTCATCAATAATTGTCTGTAATGTGATTGTATTGGTTTGTTCCACTTCCTGTCTGTCCTGTAGAGGGAGCCGTCCTTGGTGGCTCTTCCTGTTTCCCTGTTAAACCTTTGTTTGGGAGTCTTTACAGGAATGGAAGCTCTGGGGTCAGAGGGCATTGAAAGTTGAAAGGAGTGTAACCATGGTAACAGCAACGCACCTGGATGGCTCTCTGGAAGAACTTGATGGCGATGTCGTGCTCCCTCTGCAGGCTGAAACAGTTACCTGCTACACACCAGGCCTGCAGAGACAGACAGACACAACGGTAATGAGAACGTAGTCGGTGTGCAAATATTCACTGATACGAGTCAGAAATACGTTTAACGTTATGGATGCAACAACAAAGTTACGAGGAACCCTGGATGGATCCAAATATACCACCAACCGGTCGATGGTCAGATTCTAAAGTTATGAAACTGTTGACTGAAGCTTTGCTGCTAGCAGCGTCTCCACTCGTGTCTCACAGCTGATCTGTCAGACATGGCTCTATTCTCAGTCTCGGGTTAGGTCTGGGTCTAAGGCCCCGGTTCTGAGCTGGAGTGTAGTCCTACCTCAGGACAGTTCTTGTCCATGTCGGTCAGGTCTTTGGACAGCGCGGACAGGGCCACGTCTTTCTGCAGGTGCCACAGTGTGGTCGAATAAATCTCCATCCCTTCAACTCTGTACGACTCGATCCTTCGGACCTCGCTGAACAGACGCTCCGCCTACAAACACATCATTGTGACATCATAACACCTGAACAGAAAGCACTGCTGACCAATCAAACTGCTCCCTGGCTGACAGGTGAGTGTTACCTGTGTATACTCTGCCAGTTCAAAGTAAGCCCTGCCAATGTGCGTGAGGACCCAGCCAGTGTTGTAGTGCTGGGGAGGAAGGGAGGTAAGGATGTTGATTGCCTCTCTGCAGTTGTACGAGCACAGCGCCTGGTAACCACGTCCCAGTTCCCGTAGCAACACCATCACGCTGTCTGCACGCACACACAGACGTATATGAACAGGTTTATAAAGAAAGACAGTGTCAGAGTGTACTAGTCTCTGGTACTGCAGTATTAGTTATACTAACCTGCTTGTTGTTAGCTACTTTAGCTGCTGCTGTTAGCTGGTTAACAGTGGAGCTAACTCAGCCGTGCTATTAGGTGACTGGTTGGACTGGGTTATTATTATTAGTTATTATGGACAGTTCAGGACAGCACTTGTTCATAAAGGGTCACATAATTAATGGAGAGGTTAATTATTGACTTCCGTTTGAATGATGCAGGTTCATGATGAAGTGGTTAATTGCAGGTGGTCAGCGTTTATGGGACACTCTGTGTTAGATAACCTTTCGTGGCATGCTTGGCGGTTCTCACCATCAGTCACACTTCAAATCAGGTAGAATTTATCTTGTTTTACAGAAAATGTGATGATGTAAATGAAGAGCAAACGTTTCCAGGAAAACTTATTTCCTGGATTACTATAATATTATATCCTGGATTATTTTCAGGATATTTGGTCATTTTAATCAAATTAGATTGATTCCATGACTGGAAAACTAGTCTCTACATTTCCAGGTTTTGTAGGACACGTGGGAACCCTGACAGTGTGGTTCTCTAGTACACAAGCTCTGGACCACCAGGAGTCCATTAGCAGCGGTTAGCGAATAGCTACAAGTTAATGTCCATTAGTGAAGTAAGGATAAAGTAAAGATCGGAGCTGTACCTGCTGCAGCCCTTTGGTACTGGGGGATCTTGGTGTCTGGTAGACTCAGACTGGGATCCAGTCTCAGGATGTCCAGACTCTCGTTCAGGTTGGTGCTGTTTGAAGTCTTTGCTGATTTACATTTTGTTTTCCTGTTGGGGATCTTTGTTGGAAACTTCATCTTTAACTTCTTACTGTTCTCCTGCAGAGACACACAGTATCAGGCTGTAGTGTATTATTACTGTATCATTACAGTTTTAATATTACTGCATCATTATTACTACTGTATTATTATTACTGTATTATGTATCATTATTACTACTGTATCTATTACTGTATTCATTACTGTATTATTACTTTAGTGGTGCAGTACCTTGGCAGTAGAGCTGGCACTAGTAAACAGTCTGGAGCTTCTTCTGGGCTGAACGTTGGGAGGACCAGACATACTGGGACTGAGGACCTGAGGGGAGCCACTGAGAGACAGACAGGTCATCAGAGAGACAGGATATCAGACAGAGTTGAATGAACATAAACTGCCTGTCTGTCTGACTACAGACACTGTCTTCAAACTACAGGAAGTCCCAGCTAACACAGAGCTGAAGCTCCGCCCCTCCTACAGGTTAGCATTCACCTGGATGAGAGGCCGAGTTCCGTTATTTGCTGCTATAGTTACCTGGTGTGAGGGGCAGAGGTCTGTGATTGGTTGAAGGGGATGGGGAGAACATCTCTGCTGTTTCCACTCTGACTGAAGACAGACTTTGACTGACTGATCCTGGACACAGACTAAGGTACAGACAGGAGGGAAGTGAGACAGATATAATATCATCAAACTTCACAATAAAAGTCCTGTGGAGTTTTAAAATGTTTGTCATATATATATATATATACACATATATATACACATATATATATATATATATATATATATACATATATAATATACACATATATATACACATATA